GAAGTCTCGAGTTCGATTCCCTCCACATTTATTGTAGCACTACGGTATACGTATTTTTCTGCGCAGCGGTTTTGTTTGTCAAGGCCGTGTTTCGTTATTACAGGATTGACTGAAGGTTGCAAAAACAGTTAAAATGAAAGAAGCTTAATTGGATGGGGAAGGGTATAACCTACCCCTCCCCATACCACTGAGCGACAAAACTCTGGTGACGCCATTAGCTCCATGTATTCTGATTATCTTTATATTTATTGTTATCATACAATAAAAATGCAACATTTATGATTTGCAGTATCTTTGCATTTAAAAGTGTTTTGTTGGTATCTTGAAGTGTTTTGTTGGTATCTTGAAGTGTTTTGTTGGTATCTTAAAGTGTTTTGTTGGTATCTTGAAGTGTTGAAATATTTTATACTTTATCGGAAATTTTTAAATAAATTTTATTACGAAGCGTTATGAGAATGTGAAAAACTAAATTCTTTAGTTTTCAACTGTAATAGTAAACAGCCATATTGAATCAGTTATTTCCGTTCTATTTCATAGCTTAATCAAGTCATTTTGCAAAGCACTTTAGCTTAATTCAAAATGAGGAATGTATTTCAATTTATTTTGATTGAATAATTAATAGTTAGCAATAATAATATATAATCTAATTATTTACATAAAACAAACAGTAATGGCGTTTGAACAGTAAAAAATATTTTTCAAAAGATTCAGCAAAATATAGCTATGTAAGGAAAAGCATTTTTTTCATATAAAAATGAATCGAAGATCAATTTATTTGCTCGGTATATCGAACCAAAGGCATAAAAAAACTATGTCTGCTACAACAGAAAAAGAACTTTTGTCTTTACCAATATTAGAAAGTTCATTTTCAGGAGCATTACTTAAATGTGCAGTATTTTTACAGACTGCCACAAAGGGTGTCGAGGATGCTGGGATTTCCGAATCTAAAGAACAAGAAGACAAACAATTTTGCAACTTATCCAGTTCAGAAAGTAGTGACTTAAATTCTCCAAACTTAAAACGACTGTCTACAGGAATTACTTTATTTGAATCTTTACCAAAGTTTAAAAAAACACCAAAATGTTCAACAACTATATACAGAAGCTATAGTTCACCTGAAAAAATTCCATCAGTTATTGATAATAAATCAATTTCATTAAGTGCCATTATTGTTGGACAGTATTTTAAAAACTACGTTGACAGACTAAAGTTTGCAGAAGATCCTCGAAAGCTTAGGAGTCAAGTTAAAAAAAACGTTTCAGCAGAAGAAAATGATAAGGTTACGTCTAAACTTTTCTTTATTAAACAAGATATTGACAGTTTGGTTTCTAAAATAGTGCAATCAACCATGGCAAATATGTCTTATGATTCCTCTCTTTCTAATGTAAGAGCTAACAAAATAAGTACAAAACTGGAATGCACGATTAAATCAATGGTAAACACAAACAGCATATATAAGGTTGCGGTTCAAGTGTTTTTAAGTCAATTAAAGGATCACGGTCTAACTTTTGCTACTCAATGCAGTTACGGCAAAGACAACTATTTTAACGCTTTTATTTATCAAATAAATGATATGCTTATTTCGGTCATTGTTGCAGTTAATAAAATGTGTTAGATAAATGTCAGACATTTTTTTTATGATTGTTAAATTAGTACAATCTAAACTTCAATAGTCTGTTTTGGTTACCTAGAACTCTAGAGCAACTAACTATCTGGCAATCATTAAAGTTTTTCAGAGAATTTCAGACCATAAAATAAAATATTTCTTAAAAATAATTTTTGAACCATTGCTTTTATTTAAAAAAAAAAAAATGTCTCGAAGTTCGGTAACCATACTGATTGTATGTGTATTTATTTTTAAGAACAACTTGTAATATGTTAACAATATCATTATTAGTTGCTTTTATCCATCATTTTTTTAAGCAGAAAGAAAGAGTCCAATTTCAAACTTTAAGAAAAAATACAGCAAGTGAGTTTTTACATAAAAATTTTATCCCTTATCTAGCCCGTCCTATCCCTTTCACTTCCTTTAACTTTTTTTAACATACCATAGTTAAGAAGAATCCCGGTACAAAAGTTATATAAATTTGAAATCCGAGAATCTTTCTTTAAAGTTATAAACTGACACATATCTGCTTTTCTCAGCGCGATATTAGGGCATAAATTGAATGCTATTGGCATTCGGTGCGACGTACATTAAATGAGTCATATCTGCTATTTAAGAATGTAAGAGTGAGTGTAATATGTAACATTTCAATGAAAATTTTTTCGTTCTTAAAAACCTGGATTGAAAAAGTTGTAAATATTTTGAATTTGTTTGGCGTCTTTACTAAATTTATATTGTGTTCTGTGCAGCAGCCTAAGTAGGCATCTGGTGTTTGTTGTAATATTTTTTGTTAAACGTTAATGATACATTCCGCTTATAATGTCCGTCCAAATGAGCTGTTGAGATTTTAATGTTACTAACTTGTTTTTGATCTGATCTGAGAAACTTGACTATGAAATATTTTTAGCTCATTCTAATTGGTAATATTTGATACTTATCTGGTACCCTGCTATATTAATTCATTTTACTTACACCTTGTGTAACATACCATTACCTTACACATTAACATACACTATGTGTTACATACCATTAATGACAAGTCAATTAATAATAATAACACGTCAGTTAACATTAGTAACACGTTTGCAGGTTGCTTCTTTCACTCGAAACTATTTTATTAATATAAGAGTTCTGGATAAATACGAGAAAAGTGAATTTAATGTTTTATGTTTTGTATATATGATCTTTTTACTCTGAAACCTATCAATCATTAGTTTTGAGAAACATTATTCTTTCAAATAAACCTTTTTGTCAAAAAAAAATTTAAGATACTTCTATACAATTAGACAAATTTTTTCTTAAATAATACATTACAAATGTAGTTAATATAAATTACAAATTTAGGTTGAATAAAGGCAGAATGAAGAAAAAAAAAATTTTTTTTAACCTAAATAAAAAAAAAAAGTCGGTTATGTTAAGTTCATAAAAAATACTTAAAAACAAAGAAAAAAACTTGCAATAGAGGTGCTATAAGTCCATAACATGGTTGCTAAGGGCGTTGCTAAGAGTAAAAATCAATACCAACATTTAGGTAAACTGAAATAACTTTAAAATTTTTTTTTTAATTTCGATGAATTTAGATTCTGTGATAATCTTAATTTTAAATCAATTATAACAAAAAAAATGAAAAAAAAAAATTTCACCTTTTAAATTGTACGCCACCTTTGAAACAAAATTATTTTGTCAAAATTTGATTTGGATTTACCTAATACTTTTTGCCTTTTAAAAAAAAAAACTAAAAAAAAACGATCTCTTTGATTGGATAATATATTGAGTTATTACCAATAACATAAACTAACAAATGCACCTTTGTTTATCTTAACTTTTTAATTTTTTACCTTTCCCTTTTAGCGAATTTCTTTCAGATAACTCGAACTTTTCGCATGGGAAATAAGAAACTCGAATAACTTGATTAAAGTTTTTTTTAGAAGTCATTCTATATAAATCATAAACAACAGTAGCCTAATAGTAATTAGATGTGAATATATAAGATCGTTATCAGACGTGAAATAGAGCTATAATAAAACTGTTACTGTTAATGAAGTAAATATTAACCCAGTGGGAAAAAAAGATATCTTTAGACGAATAAAAGACGTCTTTTTTATGACTTGTTATGTCTTTTTAAAATCAGTCTTATTAAAGACGTGGAAAGGACGTCTTTTGAAAAGACGTCTCCAAAAAAGAGGTCGAAAAGACGCCAATCGGTAATACGTCTTTAATAAGACGTAGAAAAGACGTCTTTTATATCGATGACCTTTAAAAAAAAGAAATGAGTAAATTTTCATTTAAATGTTAAATTAAATATTACCCAGTAGAAATATTTTTTCTTCAGAGAGGGGAAAAGTCACTAACGTTTCCCACTGGGAAACGATGTAAATAAGCAAATCATGGGTTACTTATTATAATTATAATAAATAAATTATTATTTGCTTATTAACAATTTTGTTGTTAATAATGAAATCATTATTTGCTTAAGAAAATTAAAAATAATTATTGCCAATAGAACCTAAATGAGATGGGTTTTAACCCACAGTATCGTAATTACTATCTTTGTTACGTTCTGATTGGCCCGTTTTTTGTTAAAAAATACTTTCTTAAAACTTTTTTTATGTGAAACGTTTTTGCATAGGAAGTTTAATTAAAAAGTAACTATTTTCGGTAAGCGGGTTTATTTTATAATTTATATAATAAAGTAATATACATGTGTATAATATACATAATATAGGTGCATATATATATATATATATATATATATATATATATATATATATATATATATATATATATATATATATATATATATATATATATATATATTTATATTAGTTTTTATAACTATTTGTAACGACCGTGAAAGTTAGATCTTTTTTCCAGAATATATAATTCATATATATATATATATATATATATATATATATATATATATATATATATATATATATATATATATATATATATATATATATATATATATATATATTTATATTAGTTTTTATAACTATTTGTAACGACCGTGAAAGTTAGATCTTTTTTCCAGAATATATAATTCATATATATATATATATATATATATATATATATATATATATATATATATATATATATATATATAGCAATAAGTTAACAAAACAACAATAATAAAAATAATTAATTGTATAATAATAAGAATAACAATAATAAAAGTACCAGTAAGTATATATTAACACCCAATAATAATGAATAAAATAAAAACATGATAATGATAAATACAATACATATGTATTGTATTTATTATTATCATGTATTTATTTAACAATTCCGTTGTATATATATACAACGTAATTGTCAAATAAATATTTAATAGAAGGCTGTTCATTAGATACGTCAACAAAAATTATAAAAACCAGTAACTAAAATAATTAAATCAATAAAATCTTCCATACAACATAATATATATATAATTGCAGCTGTTTAGCTAGAAAATGTTAATTGGAAGAAGCAAAAAGTGGATTGCGTGGTGCCAGTAAAATGGTATCGATATGATCTAGTCTTAATTAAATTAGTCGGCGGTAAGTGTTTTAAAAAGTTTTACCGTTTATTTTTGGACTAATTTTATTTTTGGACTAATTTGTGTTGTGCTTGAAGAACGTTGTTTATTACATATTAAATTAAAATATTTATATCAGACGAAAAATAAAACATACACAATTTCTGTCTATATTTACTTCTTTAATGTGTTGTGCTTGAAGAAGTCTGTATTTACTTGTTCAAGTGCCAGTGAAACGAACGATAAAAAAGAAGAAGCATTCAGTTGGCTTGCAAATTTTTTATATAATTTTAAATGATCTGAATAATTTTGTTGTTTTTATTTAGTTGAATGATAAAATTGTTTATACAAAAGATTGGCTATTCAATTTTCATGTTAAAGTTGTTATTTTTTTGTTAGCTGTTGTCTTTCATGAACAAAGCAAGTAAAAAATTGCTCACAATGACAACAAATTTATCTTTAGAACTGTTTGCAAAACTTTTGGTTTGAATAAAAAAGACCAAGTGAAAATGATACTGAAAAGGTACACTTTCTTTTATCTAAACATCATTGCAGCTTTCTAGTCTTCATTTTTGTTTATGTGTATTTCATCTGCGTTGCTAATGATATCGCCAGTTTTTATGATTTTATGTTGTAAAGCATCATTATGTTTCAGGTTAAAATAGAGCTTTGGTTAATACTTTTATCCAGTTTAGATGAATAATAACTCTCAAGGTGTATTAGCTGAATTATCTTTTTGTTTTTATAGTCTTTAGTCAATAACGGATTTTTAAATTGCTATGAGTACAACACTTAATTTCATGGAAATTCAATTAAAAATTCATGTCATAGAAAACAGAAAAATATCAATTTCCGTTTTTAATAACTTGGCTTTCATAGCAAATCTGAGAGTTGCAAATGTTTAGCTTGGTTTATGTACTACATAATAAAATACATCGTTGTACAGTCATTTTGATGGTCGTAAACTTCTTTAGCACACTTGTTTTTATATATTTTTAGACTGTTTACCGTTTGACTCCTGTCTTAATCTAACCTAGTGGGTTCAAAACGAAGGGACCGCGATGGAGGGGGTTAAAAGGATTAGCCCTTTTTGAACTAATAGTCGGTAAATCTAATGTTATTTCACTCAGCTAATCAAGTTTCATTTGCTTTTTTGTATTACATTCAAGCAATGGACTGTTTTTTTATGTTCACTCGTTTTTTAGAAGTCGTAACCAGCTAGAAGTCCTAACCAGCTCGTATGAAAGGATTTCTCGACGTGAAATAGTTAATTTTATTCAACAACGCCAAGAAAAAGAGCTCGCTCAAGAAACAGGAAAGAAAGAGAAAGATGAAAAAATATTCTGTTGAACAATACTATTGTTTTATTTATAAATTATTATCCTATATATTAACATATCAAAGATGTAGAAAATGCTTCCTCTTTTATATTGACATCTAAAAGAGGTTTTTTTCTCGGCATTGGAAAGAGCTTTTTATCATACTTTGTATGAAGAGCTATTATCATTTTCATTTGATAAAAACAGCTTTTTATATATGAAAATTAGGAATACTATGGTGTATAGGATACTATAGTATACTAATAAGTATGACAAAAAAGTCGTTCGGACCCCGAGTAAAAAAACTTTTTTAGAAGTGCATAATTGATAAACAAATACGTCTTAAAGACGCATTTTTTGTGTCTTTTCATGACAAGATAAAGACAAAAAAGACGTCTTTTCAATGTCTAAAAAAGATGTCTTTCAGATTTTGATATTTGACTAAAAAAAGGCGTCTTAAAGACGCATTTTTTATGTCTTTTCATGACAAGATTAAGATAAAAAAAGACGTCTTTTCGATGTCAAAAAAAGATGTCTTTTTGATTTGCATATTTGACTAAAAAAAAGGCGTCTTAAAGACGCATTTTTTATGTCTTTTCATGACAAGATTAAGATAAAAAAGACGTCTTTTCAATGCCGAAAAAATCAAATATGCAAATCTAAAAGATGTCTTTTAGATTTGCATATTTGACTAAAAAAAGGCGTCTTAAAGACGCATTTTTTATGTCTTTTCATAACAAGATTAAGATAAAAAAAGACGTCTTTATGTCGAATAAAGATGTCTTTTAGATTTGCATATTATAGAAGACATCGTAAATAAGACTTTTAAAGACGTCTTTTCGACGTCTTTTTTCCCACTGGGAATATATCAGTTGCCGAATGGTAATATTTTTTTATTTTAATTTATTTTTATTTATTTAAGTTTTCATGCTATATTTTTCTATACAATGTTCTTATATCCGAAGATATTGTTGGCCTAGCATAGGAACAGCCACAAATAGTCATTAAGACTAATCCAAAGTAGCGTCCGTTATTGACCAACATTTTTGCGTACCGAAGTACTACTCAAGTTGGCGGTGGCGGGATTTGAACTCGTTCAACAGTTCGGGTTTTAACTTTTCCTTTAACACAATAACCATCTGAGCTATCCCGCCACATAATATCAAAAAAGTCATAGATAGTCTTGAAAAAAATCTTCAATTTGACATGTTGAAACATTGGTTGCTACTCTACTCAATGATTCTGATTTTTTTAATATTACGTTGTTGTTTCACCTTAAAACAAATTTAATCTAAATAGAATATATATATATATATATATATATATATATATATATATATATATATATATATATATATATATATATATATATATATATATATATATATATATATATATATATATATATATATATATCGATAAGAGCTTAGTCTCAATAGAACATTTTTTATAACTTATTTTAACCGTATTAGTTTTAGTGTTTTCCAATTTTACATTTTAAGTATAAACTTCAACAAAAAGAACTATTAAATTGTTTTTTTTGGCAAAAAAACGATAAAGATCATTAAACAAGTTACTTGTTTAACCTTAAATTAGATATTTTGTTTTCATAAGCAATTCTTATTAAGGGCTTTTTAAGCACGATGCTATCTAACATTTTCATACAGTTAAAATATATATTTCTGCCAAATAATGCATCCAAAAGTAACTCCAATTAACATGCTGGATAATTAACAAAATTAGTTAGGTATGGTTATAAAATTCCGAGGGAATTAAGAGCATTAAAATAGGATCTTAAAAAAACATTAAATGTAAATTAAACGTAAAGTGGTAAGAACAGAAATTAAAACTTGTAGTTTCTAAATGTGATTTAAAAAAAAATTTTTGTTTATAGAAATGTTTTATGATCTTAATAATATTTTTATTTTGAAATAATATTTTTAAATTTAAGTTTATTAACAACAAAGAGCTTGAAACTTCTTGGCCCCTGTTGTGTAATTTAGCCTAGCTAGCTCTCATAATGACTCTTAAATTTATTTTAACAGTCTCGTAATGACTCGTAAATATATTTCAACAAGTTGTTAATTTTTTAGATCTGTATCTTTTGTTTATTTTTAAAAAATGAGCAAAATCTACAAAAACTAATTTTTTTTAAATATTCTTTTTAAACACTATATAACTTATATTAAAATCTATTACTTATAATAGTTTTATTACTTATTACCAATTTTGTGTGCAAAAGGAAAATGGAGACGAGTCACGTGATGACTGCAGCGATTCTATATTGCTTCTGCTGTAAAGTGACATTTACTTTACAGCAGAAGCAATATAGAATTGGTGCAGTTGTAACTTTTTTGAAAAGTACAATTTCAAGCTATGTATAATGAATAGAGTGTTCATTTTTTGAGGGGAATTTAAATTAGAATTAGACACAGAATTATTCATCATTAACTACTTATTTATTAATTAATAATTAATAAGAATTTTTCTTTATTAATTAGTTAATACCTGTAAAACAAATTGGTATTATATTTTTGTTTAAATTCTTTTCATAAAACCTTTATCACAATTTAAGAGAGTTTATAAGAAAATAAATTGCATTCTCAAAAGCAGAAAAAATAACTTCAGCTTCACATTACCAGTGGGAAAAATGAAGAGCTATTATCATTTTCATTTGAAAAAACTATTTTTTTCAAATGATAATAGCTCTTCATACAAAGTATGGCAAAAAGCTTTTTCCGATGTTGAGAAAAAAACCTCTTTTAGATGTCAATATAAAAGAGGAAGCATTTTCTACATCTTTGATATGTTAATATATAGGAGAATAATTTATAAATAAAACAATAGTATTGTTCAACAGAATACTTTTTCATCTTTCTCTTTCTTTTCTGTTTCTTGAGCGAGCTCTGTTTCTTAACGTTGTTGAATAAAATTAACAATTTCACGTCGAGAAATCTTTTCATACGAGCAGGTTATGACTTCTAGCTGGTTACCACTTCTAAAAATGAGTGAACATAAAAAACAGTCTATTGCTTAAAAGTAATACAAAAAAAGCAAATGAAACTTGATTAGCTGAGTGGAGCACATTATACTTACCGACTATTAATTTAAAAAGGGCTGATCCTTTTAATCCACTCATGTTTCCAGCGCGGTCCCTTCGTTTTGAACCCACTAGGTTAGATTGGGACAGGAGTCAAGCGGTAAACAGTCTAAAAATATATAAAAATAAGTGTGCTAAATAAATTTACAACCATCAAAATGACTGTACAACGATGTATTTTATCATGTAGTACTTAAATTAAGCTAAACATTTGCACCTCTCAGATTTGCTATGAAAGCCAAGTTATTAAAAACAGATATTGATATTTTTCTGTCTTCTATAACATGACTTTTTAATTAAATTTCACTGAAATTAAGTGTTGTTGTCTTCATTTTTGTTTATGTGTATTTCATCTGCGTTGCTAATGATATCACCAGTTTTTATGATTTTATGTTGTTAAGTAAAGCATCCTTATGTTTCAGGCTAAAATAGAGCTTTTACTAATACATTTTTCCAGTTTAAATGAATAACAACTCTCAAGGTGTATTAGCAGAATTATCTTTTCGTTTTGATAGTTTTTAGTCAATAACGGTTTTTTAAATTGTTATGAGTCTAGAAAGCTGCAATGATGTTTAGAAATGAGAAAGTGTACCTTTCCAGTATCATTTTCACTTGGTTTTTTGTATCCAAACCAAAAATTTTGCAAGTAGTTCTAAAGATAAATCTGTTGTCATTATGTGTATTTTTATAATTGCTTTGTTAATGACAGACAACAGTTAACAAGGAAACAACATATTTAACATAAATGTTAAAGAGACAATCTTTTGTATAAACAATTTTATCATTCAACTAAAAAAAAACAACAAAATTATCGAGATCATTTAAAAAAATATAAAAAAAATTGCAAGCCAACTGAATGTTTCTTTTTTTCTATCGTTCGTTTTACTGGCACTTGAACAAATAAATATAGAGAGAAATTTTTTACAAGTTTTATTTTTCGTCTAAAAATAAATATTTTAATTTAATATGTAATAAGCAACGTTTTTCAAGCACAATACATTAAAAAATTAGTCTACAAATATATTGTAAAACTTTTTAAAACACTTCCCAGCGACTAACTTAATTGAGACTAGATCATATCGATACCATCTTACTGGCACCACACCATCCAATTTTGCTTCTTTCGATTAACATTTTTTAGCTAAACAGCTGCAATTGTATATTTATTTCAGTATATATATATATATATATATATATATATATATATATATATATATATATATATATATATATATATATATATATATATATATATATATATATATATATATATATATATGAATATATATATATATATATATATATATATATATATATATATATATATATATATATATATATATATATATATATATATATATATATATCAGTGACGTATCCAGGAATAGTTCGGGCATACCGGTCTAAAAGTTCTGGCTATCTTAGAGGACCTTTTTTTTTTTGTTTTTTTTTTTTTGTTTTTTACTCAAATTTAAATACAATTCTTCGTATATAATATATAATGATTTATCGCTAATCGCTACTTTTCATTTACTTGCTCCATACACTTACTATTTATAAATTAATGCTAATTATTAAATAATTAAATTCATTTTTATGATTTCATAAACAAACAATAACTATAACGTTTAATAAACAATATTTGTATGACTCTTTGATATAAACTTTATTACATAGCGTATTTAAAACAAGGTAAATTCATTCGAAATTTTACTTTATTCAAAAATTCATAACTTTTTTTTCTAGTTCTACTCTTACTATTCCAATAAAGTTTTTTGGCGCAAATATTAAAATGTTATTTTAATTATTTAAATAAATGTTATTTTAATTTTATGTTTTAAAAAATTTCATTCATTTTATTATTTAAAGTATTTTACAAACAATTTTTACTGTTGTTTGAAATGAAAAAGTTTAA